GGAGTCAGCCCTGAGTTCAGGAGGTCAGTCTGAGTTCAGGGAGTCATTCTTGAATTCAGGGAGTTATTCCTGAGTTCAGGGGGGTCAGTCTTGAGTTCAGGGGGTCATTCCTGAGTTCAGGGGGGTCAGTCTTGAGCTCAGGGGGTCATTCCTGAGTTCAGGGGGGTCAGTCTTGAGTTCGGGGGTCATTCCTGAGTTCAGGGGGTCAGTCTTGATTTCGGGGGTCATTCCTGAGTTCAGGGGGTCAGTCAAGTTCGGGGGTCATTCCTGAGTTCAGGGGGTCAGTCCTGAGTTCGGGGGTCATTCCTGAGTTCGGGGGTCATTCCTGAGTTCAGGGGGTCAGTCTTGAGTTCGGGGGTCATTCCTGAGTTCAGGGGGTCAGTCCTGAGTTCGGGGGTCAGGCTGGTGCCAGCGGTGACTTTCTGCCTGTGGAGCCCCTGCTTCTGCCCCAGCTCGTCGTCTCCGAGGTCCTCAGAGGTGCCGGTTGCTGCAGAGCTGGAGACGCAGCGTGAGGACGGGATGTAAGACCGGGCCCGCCAGTGTCCTCGCATGGCCACCCCCCCTCCCTGCCTCTCTCCGAGGCTCCCGCCACACGCCTTCCAGCAGCAAGCACTCTGCCTTAGGCCCGTGGCGGCAGGGACTGAAGGCATCTCACACACATAAGAGTAACTTGCTCAGACATTTGCCACCAGCACAGGGAGCCTGGTCCCCGGCTGCACAGGCTATTCAGGGTCCCGCGGGTGGGGACCCCAGCAGACTCCAAGCCTTGGGAGAGGCGCTGGCCTCGGCTGCAGGGGCAGCATCTGGTGCAGCCCCTACCACCCACCACCAGCACCCCACGACCAACCTGGAATCCCGGCTGACTCTGGAGATAGCGGCCCAGGGGCTGCGTGCCCAGAGTCCTCTGGGACCGTCTCATCCGGGGACTGTGTGGTCGGGGGCGGGGTGGGATGCACAGACCCCACTGTGAGCAGGGGTGTTTGGGGGCTGGATCGGGGCTCTCCCTGCCTCTGAGCCCCTGGAGGCAGGTGCCTTAAGTTCCTCTCAGGACCTGCACCTATAAGTGAGGCAGATCACATCACCGTGGCGTCAGCTGGGGACGGGGCGTCCTCTGAGGCCACAGCCGATGCGGGTGCTGCGCCCTGGAGCCTCCCTGGAAAGCCAGGTCAGAGTTGGGGTGGGGGGGAGGGAGCCCACCAGACCCCCCATACTTGAGCGAGAGGGGCAGCCCAGCCCTCCTAATAGGGGGATCCCTCTGAATCCTTCTCTGGCTCTCGGATCCCACAGGGGAACCCACAGACCTTAGCCCTGAAAACTCAAATGCACACACGTCCACAGTTGGCACAGCTCTGGGCCCCTTCCGCCCCCGTCTTTTCCCAGCGCCTCAGCAATGATCCACATCTCGCAGCTGACTGCTGGCAAACTCCAGTCACATTTCAGACTGAACACCGTGTGCAGCGGTCGGGGAGAGCGAGCACGCAGAGAGTTCTTAGCTTCCGTGGGGCGAGAACCCCGCACAGAAAATAACAGGATAGTCTCTCGTTAGTCGTCAGTGCCGGGAAGGAGTTAAGGAACGCTAATATTTTCTGTCTTTAATCGAGCACGACTGGACTCTCGAGTGTGCGCGGGGGAAGGGAAGGAAGGAAAAGAAGCTTCTGCACGTGTGCGTTGGGTACCGGGCGCCTGCTGGGCAGTTTTGCCCCATCTTGTCATTGCTGAGATGCAACTTGCCTGGGAGCTGTTGGGTGTGTTTTCTTTTTTTGACCCAGGAGACCAGCCCCCGGGAGGGGTGGTTTGGGGGTGCCGCGGGAATCCCTGCGGTCCAGCTGCAAGAATAAATTAGTGTCGCCGCAGTAGGACAAGACGCCAGGGGAGGGAGAAGTCTGTTTTGAGGAAACTCGGAGGGCTGCCCGGAGGGGAGGGTGGGGGCGGGCTCTGGGCTTCCTCTCCGAGAGGCACGCCCACGAGCAGCTCCAGCCGTGGCCTTGGGTCCCTTCTTGCGGGCCTGCACCCCACGTGCACGGGTGGACGTGAGGCACGTGAGGGGGCACGTGAGGCTGTGAGCGTCCAGGGGAGGCAGGGAGGCGGGGAGGGAAGGGCGCCCCCCAGGGCTGCGTGGAGGCTGGAGGGGCCCCTGCCCTGGGAGGAGGGGCTGCGGGGAGGATTCTCAGAGGAGGGACATGGAGGAAGTGCCCTGGGGGCTGGGACGTGTGGGCAGAGAAGGCCTAAGTAGCCCCCGGGGCCCCTGGAGGGGATTCTGGGAGAGGGAGTCGGGATTTTCCCGGGGGCTGAGAAAGGGGTTCCCGTAAGGAACAGCACACGCAGCGGCAGGGACTGGGGGTGCCTGGCATGTTGAGGGGACAGTACTGTGTGTGTGTGTGTGTGTGTGTGTGTGTGTGTGTGTGTGGTGGGCGAGCACAGCGTAGAGGGTGGGACGAGGGGCCTGGGAGGGAAGGGAGGCTGCGTATGGACGGACACAGTCATGTCCTGCTGGCGGGGGGCCTGTCGCAGACACATCTTCCTGGGGCGGCAGCTGCCAACACGGCTGTAGAAAGACCACACGCAAATATGCGCACATATAGACAGACCCAGGGGCACACAGGCCCAGGGACACACCGGGCGCCTGCAGCACACACACACAGGCACACACACACACAACCTGTGCCGAATGTGAAGTGTGATGTTGACAAACCCAGTGTTCAAGAGCTAGAGGAAGCTTGTATTTTTTAAAGATCCCGAAGTCACATCCAGAGAGCGTCTGTTTCACGTTGTCAGGAATAATGAGAGCAGACACTTAAATAGCACCTACCCGGTGCCAGCCTCTGCTCCGAGCGCTGTGCACATCTTACCTCATTTTACCCCTCGGCTCCCCTGTGTGGGTCACTACCTACTAGAATCACTCCCGTTTTGCAAGGAGGCACAGAGAGGTCAAGAGCCCTGCCCAGGGCCACACAGCTTGTAAACAGCAGAGCTGGGATTTGAGTTCAGGGGGAATGCCCCGGAACACATGCTCTTCCCTGGGGAGTCAAGTGCCTCTTGGCTTTGTTTCTCCTGGAGAGGACAAGGATTCTTTCTTTCTTTCTTTCTTTCTTTCTTTCTTTCTTTCTTTCTTTCTTTCTTAGAGAGAGAGAGAGAGAGACAGCGTGAGCAGGGGAGGGTCAGAGAGAAAGATACAGAATCCGAAGCAGCTCCAGGCTCTGAGCTGTCAGCACAGAGCCCGACACGGGGCTCAAACCCACGAACTGTGAGATCATGACCTGAGCCGAAGTCCGACGCTTAACCGACTGAGCCCCCCAGGCGCCCCAACAAGGATTCTTTAAAACAGGAACTAGAACATGAGACAGCAGACTACTCTGGGCTGGTTGCTGAGGATTTTACTGAGAGGCTGAGAAAAGAGTCAGGAAAATGGAAAGAAGGAAAGGAAGCTTCTGGGGGACTGTGCTGGGCGCTGGGACCGGGGAGAGGCTGGGCCATCATAACCATTTTTAAGTGCCCAGTTCCGGGGCTGTGTGTACACTGCTGCTGTGCGGCTGTCCCCCCCCATCCGTCTTCTCCAGAGCCTTTCCATCTTCCCACACCGAAGCTCAGCCCCCAGTAAACACGAGCCCTCCTTCCGCAAGCCGGTCCCGCTGACCACCACCCTGCGCTCTGTCTCGGGGAGTTTGACAGCTCCAGGTGCCGCATGCGAGTGGCGTCCCCCAGTGTTTGTCCTGGGGGGACTGGCTGCTTTCGCCGCGTCCACACCCACAAGGTTCATCCATACTGTAGCGCACGTCGGAATTTCCTTCCTTATTTAAGGGCTGAATGATAATATTCCGTCGTACGTATACACCACACTTTGCTTACCTGTCCGTCGATGGACACTCAGGTTGCCCTTGACCTTGGCTCTTGTGGCCAGCGCTGCTGTGAACACAGATGTGCATGGGGTTGGGATCAGGGCTCTGGTTGGGAGTGAGCGGTAGAGAAACAGCTGAGTACCCTCTGCAAGCCCGGTCCCTCGGGGGCCGGCTCGTCTCCCACCGGAGGCAGACGGTGGTGATGCTGGGTGCAGACCGGCGGGCGGGGCAGGTGCCGAGGGTCCTCGGGGTGGGCCGTGGGAACGGGCAGTGTGCAGCGGTCGGGAGAGCAGTGGTACTTTGTGCATATCCGCAATGGGCTGGGCGCCCGGTGGGTGCATGTGGTGCGGGTCTCCCGAGCCTGGAGCCTGAGCCTGGCTCCATCTGGATGCACGCGGGGTCTCTCTGCCGGACACCTGCACGCAGGCTACGCCGGGCACGGCCAGGAGCAAGCTCCCCTCCTCCGCAGCTCTGCGCCTCCCTCGGGTGCCTGCCTCACCCGCCCGCTGGTCCAGGCCAGCTCCAGGGGGGCGCCGGGTCCCCCGCTCTCTCTCTGGGCTATGGGTCCTTAGCACCCCCCCCGGGGCCCCCGCACCTTCCCCACAGCCCCTCGCCGCCCGGCACTACTTGCAGTCAGGACTGCTTCCTGCGGCACCTGAGTTGTTCTAACAGCCGCCTCCCCTGTCGCCCCGCCTCCGCCTTCCTCCTTCACCAGCGCTGCTCCCTGGGCTCCGGGGAGAGCAGCAGCCTTTGGGTGCCTCACTGTGGGGGTGCTGGCTGGACTGTTTCCTGTCCAGCGGGCGGGGGTGATGACATTCGTGGGCGGGCATGCGGGACACACGGCAGCGCGTGGGGCAGTCCCAGAGGGGAGAACTCTCCTGGGCGCCTCGTGACTGTGGAGAGTCCCCGTCACCTTCCCGAGGGGAGAATCCGCCTTAATCCCTGGACACGACGACCCGATTTCCGCCCAAGCGCCGACCTTCCCCGGCGCACAGCTGGTCCCTAAATTGTGAGAAGTTGTACTTGCCTTTGTGTTGATCTCGACTGGAAGCTGTTCGTGGTTTCAGAAAATCGCGTCACCTCGGCAGCGCCCTGCTTGGTGCGGGAGCCTCACAAGAGAGCTGCCCTTCCCTGCTGCCTCTGCGGGGCCCACGCGCCGTGTGCATGTCGCCGCCTTACCCTGGCCCACGCGCCGTGTGCATGTCGCCGCCTTACCCTGGCCCACGCGCCGTGTGCATGTCGCCGCCTTACCCTGGCCCACGCGCCGTGTGCATGTCGCCGCCTTACCCTGGCCCACGCGCCGTGTGCATGTCGCCGCCTTACCCTGGCCCACGCGCCGTGTGCATGTCGCCGCCTTACCCTGGCCCACGCGCCGTGTGCATGTCGCCGCCTTACCCTGGCCCACGCGCCGTGTGCATGTCGCCGCCTTACCCTGGCCCACGCGCCGTGTGCATGTCGCCGCCTTACCCTGGCCCACGCGCCGTGTGCATGTCGCCGCCTTACCCTGGCCCACGCGCCGTGTGCATGTCGCCGCCTTACCCTGGCCCACGCGCCGTGTGCATGTCGCCGCCTTACCCTGGCCCACGCGCCGTGTGCATGTCGCCGCCTTACCCTGGCCCACGCGCCGTGTGCATGTCGCCGCCTTACCCTGGCCCACGCGCCGTGTGCATGTCGCCGCCTTACCCTGGCCCACGCGCCGTGTGCATGTCGCCGCCTTACCCTGGCCCACGCGCCGTGTGCATGTCGCCGCCTTACCCTGGCCCACGCGCCGTGTGCATGTCGCCGCCTTACCCTGGCCCACGCGCCGTGTGCATGTCGCCGCCTTACCCTGGCCCACGCGCCGTGTGCATGTCGCCGCCTTACCCTGGCCCACGCGCCGTGTGCATGTCGCCGCCTTACCCTGGCCCACGCGCCGTGTGCATGTCGCCGCCTTACCCTGGCCCACGCGCCGTGTGCATGTCGCCGCCTTACCCTGGCCCACGCGCCGTGTGCATGTCGCCGCCTTACCCTGGCCCACGCGCCGTGTGCATGTCGCCGCCTTACCCTGGCCCACGCGCCGTGTGCATGTCGCCGCCTTACCCTGGCCCACGCGCCGTGTGCATGTCGCCGCCTTACCCTGGCCCACGCGCCGTGTGCATGTCGCCGCCTTACCCTGGCCCACGCGCCGTGTGCATGTCGCCGCCTTACCCTGGCCCACGCGCCGTGTGCATGTCGCCGCCTTACCCTGGCCCACGCGCCGTGTGCATGTCGCCGCCTTACCCTGGCCCACGCGCCGTGTGCATGTCGCCGCCTTACCCTGGCCCACGCGCCGTGTGCATGTCGCCGCCTTACCCTGGCCCACGCGCCGTGTGCATGTCGCCGCCTTACCCTGGCCCACGCGCCGTGTGCATGTCGCCGCCTTACCCTGGCCCACGCGCCGTGTGCATGTCGCCGCCTTACCCTGGCCCACGCGCCGTGTGCATGTCGCCGCCTTACCCTGGCCCACGCGCCGTGTGCATGTCGCCGCCTTACCCTGGCCCACGCGCCGTGTGCATGTCGCCGCCTTACCCTGGCCCACGCGCCGTGTGCATGTCGCCGCCTTACCCTGGCCCACGCGCCGTGTGCATGTCGCCGCCTTACCCTGGCCCACGCGCCGTGTGCATGTCGCCGCCTTACCCTGGCCCACGCGCCGTGTGCATGTCGCCGCCTTACCCTGGCCCACGCGCCGTGTGCATGTCGCCGCCTTACCCTGGCCCACGCGCCGTGTGCATGTCGCCGCCTTACCCTGGCCCACGCGCCGTGTGCATGTCGCCGCCTTACCCTGGCCCACGCGCCGTGTGCATGTCGCCGCCTTACCCTGGCCCACGCGCCGTGTGCATGTCGCCGCCTTACCCTGGCCCACGCGCCGTGTGCATGTCGCCGCCTTACCCTGGCCCACGCGCCGTGTGCATGTCGCCGCCTTACCCTGGCCCACGCGCCGTGTGCATGTCGCCGCCTTACCCTGGCCCACGCGCCGTGTGCATGTCGCCGCCTTACCCTGGCCCACGCGCCGTGTGCATGTCGCCGCCTTACCCTGGCCCACGCGCCGTGTGCATGTCGCCGCCTTACCCTGGCCCACGCGCCGTGTGCATGTCGCCGCCTTACCCTGGCCCACGCGCCGTGTGCATGTCGCCGCCTTACCCTGGCCCACGCGCCGTGTGCATGTCGCCGCCTTACCCTGGCCCACGCGCCGTGTGCATGTCGCCGACGTACCTTGGCCCACGGCAGCGTCACACAAGGTGCTGACACGGTATGCTGACATCTTAAAACCCCTATGATTTTTGTCGTGAATCATTTGCACTGTGTTTTAAATGAGTTTTAAAAACTCATTTGGTCGGCATGCTTTGTGGTTTTCTTCCAGGGTATTAAAACAGGGACATAAAATGTTGGCTCTCCCAGGCAGTTGGTCTGATGGGGCTGAGAGCCGCGCACAAGGCCCTCGGTCCCACCACTGATGCATGATAGAGGGGGAAACAGGCCCAGAGAGGCCAAGAAAGTGGGCCAGGCGCCCCCCCATCTGGAGGGAAGCTCTGGTCTGAGGACGCCGGCTGTGTGCCCGCCGCAGCCCGTCCTCTGTTTGGGAGCAGGTCCCGCGGCTCCTCCTCCCCACAGCCTCAGCCCTTCTAGTACTGAGGGTAGTAACCCACAGGTGAGATCTGCGCCTCCCCGAGCCAGGCGAGAAGGCACTGGACAGAGGCAAGGCCAGGCTGGTCTCTGGGCAGGCGGTGACCTGCGGGGAGCAGGCAGGGGGCACGTCTGGTGAGGGAATGGCCAGGAGGGAGGCCGGGAGTCAGCACCGTGGGACGGACCACAGGCTCATCCCCTCCACACACTAAAGAGTGTGCTGAGTCACCAGCTCATGGTGACCAAGTCTGCCTGCACGCGTGACCTCACTGCAGGGCAGGGGTGTGTCTACACTGGTGGGGGTGGCGATGCCACGTCTCTGTCCCTGGCGTCCTGCACAGCGCGTGGGACCCTGACGGAGGACTCGATCCCCAGGTCGTGGACGAGGTGAGGACGCGCGGCTGGCCTGGGTCCCGCGCAGGATCCAGCGCCGGTGCTGCTCCTCGGCTCTGTGTGCGGACCCTGCGTCACGCGCTCCTGAGGCCCCAGAGCCCCTCTGCTCGGCGTCCGCGGGAACGAGCTTGAGGCCGAAGTGAGTGCGTGAATCAGGGACCGCACTGCCCGCCCCCCTCCTGGGCGACGCCCCTGCTGACCCCTCGGCCGTCCCCTGCCGTGCCCCCTGCGCTGGTCGGGAATCACGCACGTGACAGTGGGTCCCCGGCCGCCGGGCCCGGCTCAGCCTTGCCACCTCAGATGCCCGTCCGTCTCTGGTGCTCGCGCTCCGTGGTGACGCAGGGGACCCGGCGCCCTTGAGGGGCCTGAGCTGCCGCCTCCGTGGCCCTGCGGTGGCAGCACCTGCCCAAGTTGTCAAAGCAGAAATTGCCCCAAGTGCCAAAAGGAGACAGTCAGGGAGGTGGGAGGGGCTGACACTTCCAGCCTGAAGGCCTTGGTGAAGAAGTAGCATCTGCCCTGAAGCCTGGGGGGGAGGGAAAGCACTTGCCAGGTATCAAGTGCAGGGAACAGTGTTCCAGGCAGAGGAGCAGCATGTACGCAGTCCCTGAGGTGAGCGTAAGTTTCCTTGTTTGGAGAACTTAATGGCTCAGTGAGGCTGGAGGGCGAAGCAGGGGTGAGGGGGGAGCGGGGAAGGGAGAGGCGAGCAGGAACCAATTATTTGGCATGTATAGGGGGTGCAAAAGGGTTTGGTAATGTTCTGAAACACGGCTGCAGTTTCTTTAAAGATGTTAAGGTCTTTGCAGATGAAAATAGTTTTGGCTTTTCTTTTTTTTTTAAATTTTTTATAGTTTATTTATTTTTGAGACAGAGAGAGACAGAGCGTGAGCGGGGGAGGGGCAGAGAGAGGGAGACACAGAGTCTGAAACAGGCTCCAGGCTCCGAGCTGGCAGTCAGCACAGAGCCCGACGCGGGGCTCGAACCCACGAACCGCGAGATCTGACCTGAGCTGAAGTCAGACGCTCAACCGACCAAGTCCCCAGGCACCCAAAGTTTTGGCTTTTCAAAGTTTGCGATAGGTTTCAATCTAACATCAATAAAAATGATTGCTATAATTTGTCAATTGTCATAATTATTAATGTCGGCTGTTCACTGAGCATTTTACGCACGTGGTCTTTCACTCTGACCACACCTGCCCGGAAGGTCATCGTTGTCTGCGGTGTGGGGACGAGAAGGGGGGCCTCTGAGAGGGGCACACAGCCGGGCTCGGGGCTGTGACAGGCACGTTCCCCAGAGCTTTCCGAGTGAAAGGCCTGAGCAGCGCAAGGCGGCCGTTTGGAGGGAGGGGCGGGCTTGGCCGTGGAGGAGCCCCGCTCGGGCCCCAGCCACCCCAAGCCCTTGGCGGAGTCTGCCCTTCACTCTGCGCCACCATTTCCTGTCTGTTGAACGGGGATCTTGCGGCTTCTGGTAAGTTCTCACACCAGTGTGACCCTGCAAGCCTCGTGGTGAAACGGCACCTCTGAACTTCTCAGCGGATGGCATCGAAACATCGGCCTGTGCCCAGGGGACGGGGTCTGGGACGCTCCGGAAGCCCAGGGGCGGGAAAGCTGGCCCTTTCCATTCGTTTGTTGGTGGCAGCCAGGCTGCATGGGGCCCGCGGCTGAGGAAGTCAGGGCGCCTGGCACAGCCGCCGAGTCGCCGCGGCCAGCGGGGCTGCGAGTTCCAGCCCTACTCGGAGAATGAGGGGAGCCCGGCCGCGGGCACACCGGCAGCGTCCGCGTTCTCCAGGCCTGCGCGTGGCGTGTGGCACAGAGCAGGCGCCCCGCGCTGTCATCCCGCCGCGTCCTGGGGCCGCCGCGTGCCGGCCCCGCCGCGTGTGCCGGCCACGAGTCCCTGGTCTAGTCCTCTGAGTGGCCTCGACCGCTCTCCGTCCCCCCCCCACTCCTCTCGTCCGGCGGTGACTCCCGGTGGCTCACGTTTCAGAACCCGCCGGGGGCCGCACCCCTCCCCACCCCCGCACGGCCCCACGCGGGTCACCGGCCAGCTCCTGGTTGCGGCCTTGGGAATGGTCTCCCCAGGGGCCCTGACAAAACCCACGTTCCTCCCCGCTCAGCACCTGCCCCGCCTCCTGCCTCGGCCAGGCCCTGCGTCGTCTGGCCCCTCGCCGCCCTCACCTTCCCTGTCTCTTCCTCTTGCTCTGTCTACGATTTCCTGCCAGAAGGGGAGTTACGAGAGGGGCCGGAATCTCTGTTTCGTTCTGAGGTGTCCCAAGGGCCCGGAACACTTCCTGGCGATAGCGGGGGGCTCGGGAATTATTCGGGAACGAATAGTGAACGATTCGAGGTAGGTACGCTTGTCGTCATTTTACAGATGAGTAAACCGGGGCACAGGGAGGTGAAGCACTGCGCCACACAGGTCCCGAATGGCAGACGTGGGATTCAGACGGGCAGGCTGGCTGTAGAGTCTGTGTTTTCAACCCCTAAGCTCTACCGCCTGCCTACTTGAACACTGGTGACTTGGTGAATCACATGGCCTTTCTAGATCCTTCTGGCGCCCTGTGCACTAGATCACCACACCTCTTCTTGCCTTTGATTCTCTTTCCCACCTCCATTCTTTGGCCATGCTGTTGCATCCTATTAGGGTGCCCTCTTGTAGAGAACGCCTATTCATCCCTCAAAACCCAAGCTGTCTCGTTCCCCTGCCAGGCATTTCATTTCTCTCTTTGCCTTGCGTCCGTTGCTCTGTGGACAGACCTTGGCCAGGACCCTTCGAATCCCCCCTATTTAGGTGAATCTCCGTTTGAGCCTCTTCATGGCAGGGGCCTTGTTTTATTTTCTCTGAGCCTCCCACCCTGCGTCTCCCGTGTCAGGGACCTAGTAAATGTTTGTGGAATGTGTGACTAGCAATGTTTCTGGCACTTACCACCTGCCAAGTGAGCATGTGCATATTCAACCCTGTTCATGATGGATCTTCATTTTCACACCGTCCATATGTTTCACAGAGAGAAAAATGGGCCCACATCAGAGCGGAATCTAATGAAATCACATCTAGTGGTGAGTCCTCACGTCATTCACTTAGAGGAAATGCTTCCTGGAACGCTGCTCTGTCTTGGGTGCATAAAACGCAGACGTTTAATGTTACCTGGCGCAGATTTCCATTAGCTCTCCAGGGTCAAGAGCTACTGTGAGGGCTGGAAAGCTAACTGGCCATAAGCAAAGTCTACTTGATAAATGCAAATCCTGGAGATCATAAAGTGCATTAGCGTCTATGGAAAGGTGTTAACTAAAGGTCATGAGGTGTGGACAGCGAGTAGCAAAACCCTTTCTCCTATGTGAGCACTTGACCTTCGGGTAACTCTCTAGCTCTTTCCCTGGGAACAGATCAAAGCCGGGCAGCACCGCATGTGGTAAAATGGCCCCCGGTGGGTAGGTTGCACCTGGACAGGCCGCGGCTCCGAACGGGCCCCGTGCCAGGGCTTTGCCGAGCACCGCGGCTCTCGTGCTGGCCGCGTCCCTTGCCGGGAGCCGGACGCCGAGCCGACGGAATTATTCATCGAGCTGTCGGCTCCCACGGGGCGTGAAGCTTTTATGCCGGTGCAGCTCCCGCACTGCCTGCTGTGTGTCTCACCCCCTTGTCCCTGAGCGGCTACCGGGGGGTGGTGGTGACAACGGACGTGGCCCCCGGTGGCTGTGGGGCTGTGTCCCCGTCGCGTGCCCTTCTCAGCGGATGGCGGCCTGGGAGAGTCGTGGGGCCCCAAACGCGGAACCCCGCTGCAGACACCTGCTGCGCTACGTGCATGATAACTCTGGAGGGTCAGTAGCCGGTGCTTAGTAAACCCGTGGGAGTGTAAGGGACACGCGGTTTGGGTGCGTGGTCGTCCTGAGGCTGAAGAGCGCCCACGGTGTGTCCAGCCCCCTTTCCCCCCGGCACCCCAGGGGCAGGCAGTCCTCGCCGTGGCCGAGACCGGCGTCTAGGGCCGGTGGAGACCTGTGGTTTTGGCAGTGAAATACTTCCCCTTCCAGGCCTTTCCTTGAAGTCCGCTAACCGGGCGTGGTGAACATGCTCTGGCTACACTGAGGGGCTTGGGGCAGGCCTCCTTCCCTCTGCCTGGATGGGGTTGTGGAGGGAACTCCCAGCCCGAGTGGGGGGCTAGGGAAGCCAGTTCTAGCGGCCCCCACCCGCTCTCGCCCCGTGCCAGCCCCGGATTGCATCGTCTTTCCCCACCTGAGCCTCCCAGGGGCCCCCGGAGGTCCGCACCCTCATGGCCTCCGTTTCCCAGGTGAAGAACTGGAGGTTCAGAGATGTTAAGTAACTGACCCGAGGCTGCTCAGCAGGAACGCGGCCAGGCGCGGGCTCAGCCCCAGCCCTCCGGCTCGAGAGCCTGGCTCTGAATCCCGGCCTTGGGCTGACCTCCCGTCCTCTTCCAAAGCTAATTAACGTCCTCTGATTCTGAGTCAGCCCTGCCTTAGTGGATGGCTCCGGGCAGCACATTTCTAGGGCACAAGATGTCCCCCTGCTTCCCTCCTTCTGCCCGAGCCTGTCAGTTCCGGAATGGGCCAGGTGTCCAGTCTGGCATGCGGCCCAGACCTTAAAAAGCTTTTCCCCTTCCCTCTCAGGCCTGGGTGTGATTCCTCTGCGGACAGGCCTGGTCCCCCTCGTGACCCGGCACGTCTCTGGGAGGCCGGAGCGGGGAGTCTCAGAGCTGCAGTGACCGGCACGAAGGGCAGGGGCCCCGCTGGGGGCCGTGTGCTCATCGTCCCGCGGGGGCACTGGGCTCGGGCTCGCCCGTCGCTCCCGTCCATCCCCAGCGTCTCTCCGGCGTGGGGGTCCGCCAGCCATAAGGAATTTGGGTCCCTGTGCACGGGAGGGGTGGGCTTCGCGGCGGGAAAGCTCTTCACTCTCCGGAGATGCAGGAGGCCGTCGCGGGGCATTAGGGCCCCTTCGCGGCAGGCGGGGGGCAGGGCTGGGCGCCCCTCGCTCCACCTGCGGCGTTTCCTTCTTCCTGGAGGCACTGGAGACTTTCCGGCTCCTTCTAACCCCGAGCTGCCGTCCTGCTAGGGCTTCCTCTTGCAGCCCGTGTCTCGGGCCCGGGAGAGGCCCCGTGTGCGATGAAGCACAGACTTCTCCGTGAAGAGAGGACGTTCTGGGGACTTAGGTACAAAGTAGGGACAGCCTGGTAAGAAGGGGGCACGCGGCACACCGAGGGGGACGCCCCGGGGCCTGGGGGGGGTCTCCCCCACCCCTGCCCGCGTCTCTGTCACAGCGTCTTCCAGAACAGCAGTGCTCAGCCTCTCCCTCTGGAAGAAAGACCCCCTTTCTCGTTACTACCGGCCCATCGCAGTCGATACAGATCCCACATGGGCCCCGTGAGGAGTCAGACCCACAGACGCAGGAAGTAGGAGGGTGGGGGCCAGGGACCGGGGGAGGGCAACGGGGAGTCCCTGTTTCATGGGGAGCCTGTGGGAAGATGAGAAAGTTCTGGGGATGGACGGTGGGGATGGCTGAACAGTGTTCGTGTCCTTGATGCCACTGAACTCTGCGCTTAAAACAGCAGATTTCATGTTGGGCATCTTGTAACCACGATAAAAAGAAGAGAGGAAGGAAGGAAGGGACTCCCCTGCGGCTGCAGGGGTGTGGGGCTGGGCAGGCTGCTCCCCCTCCCGCCCACCCCTCCGCTCTGGGGGCTCCCGTCTCTGGGCAGGGTCTGGGCCTGGCCGAGGAAATGCAGTCATGTCTGGAACACAATAAATTGCGAGGCCAGGCAGTGGCCGGGCCCTGGGGCCCTTTAAAATGACTCTGGTCACCGTGGGCGCCGACCTTCAGTTTCCAGATCACTACGTGAAGGCGGACGTGCCCGTCCTGTGACAGGTGCGGGTGCAGCAGCTCCCGGCGGAGGAGGCCCGGCTCCTTCTACGCCGTCCCTGAGACACATGCAGCCCCGACTGCAGCTGCGGAAGCCTGTGCGGGGCTCGGGGCCACCACCCCTCCAGGCATCCGTCCCCAGATGCTCGGAGCCCGTGTTTTGTGAGCTCGGTGGGTGCCTGGACCCCTCGTTGCGTGGGGCAATGGGGTGCCGGGTGCCCAGGGTGGGCCCTGCCCCCGGGCTTGCCCCGAAGCGTCCCCGGGTGCCTCCCAGAGGTGCTGTGAGCTGTGAGGGAGGGGCCTGTGTCCCGAGTCGCTGGCCTTTTCTTGTGCTTTCTGTGGCTCCTCCCTGAGGGTCTAGAGCCTGTTGTAAGAGCAGTGTCGTCCTTCTGGCTGAGCCTGGCCGGCCTGCGGAGGGGCCGTGGGCCAGAGAGCAGGCAGGCCAGGGGCCCCGTGTGTGCCCCGAGGGGCCGCTTCCGGGCACGCAGGACCCTTGGAATTCACCCTTGAGATGGTCCCACCCCGACCAGGCTGGGAAGGCCCTGCCTCTGCCCACAGGGACAGGCTCAGGGGCAGAAGCGTGGGGTCTCACCGAGGGCTTCCCGCGGTGTTGACATCGCAGGGTCATTGCGGTGGCCGATCCTGGGGCGTGGTCACGAGCAGCGCCTCAGGGGCGGGCACTGCGGGCTCGTCCTGGCCTCCCTCGGACTCCTCACCGCCCCTCTCTGCTCCTTCCTTTCCCCAAGGAGGAACGGGGTAGGCAGCTCACGATGCCGTTTTGAGAACCAAGAGTGGAGTAGGTGCCCGTGGCGCGTGCCGTGGCTGGTCGCTGTTAACAGCAGCCGGAGTTTGGCAGCAAAGCCCCGTCCATGCAGATCCGGATGAAGGGGTGCGTGAGGGTGTGTGAGAGACTGCCGATGAGGGTGCTGGAGCCGTACGTCCCGGGAAGCGGGCCTTGCCCTTCACACCCGGGGAGCAGGGGAGCTCCCCGCAAAGGGTTGAGACGTGACGCAGAACATTCCCGCGAGGCTGGGTTTCCGGGGAGCTGCTCCGGGGTGATAACGTCAACCAGAGGGAGCCAGCCGGCTTTTGCTGTGAGGCCGTACGTTGCTTTACCAGAAAATCGGCTCGGTTGTCAATTGGTCATTTGCTCCCATAGGTGATGATTAGGGCGTCTCCTTCTGGGGCACCAGATGTTGGCAGAAGCCACCTTTATCCAGATGTTTCCCAGCTTGAGAAGGACGTGGTGCGGGAGCTGAGCAGTGCTGTCCCTTTGGGAGGCCCGTGTGCCCCCCCCCCGACCCCCGCCTGGTTCTCTCGTCCACAGACACATTCACATCCTCAGAGTCAAGTCTCCCAGCTGTTTCGGGCGACCTCGGCGTTGCTGGAATAAACCATGAGCGGCTCCAGGGGCCTGGCTGAAACGAATGATCGTCTTCGGACAGAGAAGTGCCGTGTCCCTCCTTGTGAAGGGGGCCCGCCCTCTCTCAGAGCCGCATCACTGGCACGGACAGTCCCCCAGGCCGGGCGGGTCCCGCGGCGGTGGCCAGTCCCCAGGCAAGCACTGGCGCCGCTGCCCGAGCAGAAAGCAGTTGGCAGTGTCTGCTTGCTGTTGAATTATTTCACGTCTTAATGAGGCCATTTTTCACGTCCTCCACTGGTTCCCCAGGGCCCACCGATGGGGTGGGCAGTTGGCGAGGTTGGAATGAATATTAATGAGGCAGCATTATGTCTGGCGTGTCTGCTTAGTGTCGCTTCCCCAGGGGAAGGGGCTGGGTTGGGGGAGCCCTCCCTCAAAGGCCATGGGGCTATGCCATCTCGGCATCACTGGCAGTTTTCCAGTTTGGGGAAGTCCCTGGGGGCCACGGGGTGGGGGGGGGGGAGGGCTTACATCCCTGTGAGCCACTCCGGGGAGAGATTTCTGTGCCTGGACAGAGTGGGCGCCATGACTGTGTTGAACAGTCCATTCTTGAATCTGCCGACGGTCGGCTTCCTCTTGCTGGGGGACCTCGAAGCAGGTGTTACAAAGGGCACCCAGTTCAGAAGTGCTGAGGTGCAGTGCTGCTTGGACAGGTGTGGAGGTGCCCGTGTTCTGCCCTCCTTCTGGGTCCCTCTTGGCGGCGTTTGGGGGGAATGTTCTGGAATGTAGTGCAAACGTATAGATGAAATGTGGTAGCCCGGGAACACTTCTCAGCCCTGAAAAGGGAATGAACATCCTATGTCATGTGTGACTTTTGAAAACACTTAGACTCTGTGACAGAAGCCGGTCGCACAAGACTGCGCACCCGAGGGCCCCATCCTGTGAGAGTCCAGACGAGGCAAGTGTGTAGAGGCAGACGTAGATGCGCCGTTTCCAGGGACTGGTGATGGGGGCGGGAGGGGCTCTATGTAATCAGGCACGAGGGGTCTTACTGGAGCCAGAGGATGCTGTAAACGGGTGTACGTGGGCAGGGGCAGCACTCCGTAACGTTACAAAGAGTCACTGAAGTGTAAAACAAAGCAAACCAACCGAGTCACAGTCACTCAGTTTGGGTTGGAAACCAAGAAACTCCCTAGGAACGACATGAAGATCGCCCTCAGCTGTCTGCCACGTGGGAGGCCTTGCTCCCCTGCTTCTCTCCCGGGCCAGTGCTTTGTCGCCACGCTCAGCCCACCTCATCAGTGATCTTTATGGCTCCTTCGTCTTGCTCACTTAATGATGCGCTGTGTCCCGTGTCAACTCCTCCGGGTGGAGGCCAACCAAAGGCCCCAGGAAAAAGGTCGAAAACTTGGGAAGAGGCTGGAGGAAGGCAAGCGAAGTGCGTACGCGCTAACGAGCCGGGGCTTTGAGTCTCTGAGAGGAAGGGATGCACCCGCGTGTTGGATGCACGCGTCCATCCGCCTGGACACTCTCTGCTCGCTCGCCTCCACCACGCTCTGTGCCCAGGAAGGACACCCTCTGTCACTGGCTCCCGTGCCCACTGGCCTCCACTTGGCCTCCAGCTGGGCTCACCCAGGGAGGCAGGGACACAAGATCAGAGGGCGGGAGGGGAAAAGGCCGGAATATTCATTCTGCTGGGTCGGGGGTAGGCTGTGGCTGCGCCCTCTGTGTACGGCCAGGCCTCTGCGGAGGGGTCTCCCTTGCAAACATTTCATTCTCTGTAAATGCTCCCTGCCCTGTCTCTTAGGACAAGGGGCTTGGCCGCTCCCCGCAGCTGCCGGGCCAGCCCTGGGGGCTTCATCCTCTCGGGTTGGGCCCCCTAACCCGAGCCCTCCACATAGCCTGCGCCCGTGAGCCCTTTTGAGGGCCTTCTGCGCCCTGACGGGTACTGTGCCCTCAACGTATTTGACCTGGTGTTTCCCGTGGAGGTCGGACGGGCCAGTGGGCGATACCGTTATATGTTTAATCTTCTGCTGCTGAACGGCTGGTCGCTGCCAGTATTTTTTTTTTCATCTTTGTGCGATGATTATGCGCGTTGGACAGATTCCTAGAATGTGTGAAGGAATGCCCACTTCAGCGTATTTCCAGGAGATCTTGGACAGAGCTCTCGAAGGTGGCCCAGCTCCGGGGGGGTGAGGGCCGCTGCAGGGCATGGTCCCCTGGACCGTGAGTTGGGGACATTCGTGAATGCTTAGGAAAACAGGCTCCCGCTGTGAGAACTGAGAACAGCCATTTGGTTGGGGGCCCGTTTACTCTGGAGCCTTCATGGCGCCTGTTCCGGGAGCTCACAGGAAGGCTCTGCCTCAGGTGCCCTGTGCCCGGGGTCACAGAAGACACCTGGTGAAGCCCAGGGAGATACGGGCTCTCACCCCAGCTGTGTGACCCTGGCGGTCCGGGGCCCCCTCTGAGCTCTGAGCCTCCTGGAATTGTGGGGCCACTTTAAATGGATGGACCGTGCGAAGCCCTTTGCCCATCCGTCCTGGACGTGAGATTGGGGGCCGTGTCTGTGCCTTTTCTGAGCTGCTGACACGTCCACGTCTCTGCGCTGCAGACAGTGTTTTGTAACATATCCGATTTTATTATCTGTGTGGCTTTGCCGCCCCCGGCCCCGCCTCAAAGAGGCGTCCATCAACCCTCACGTGTGCGGACTCTGCCTGCTCCTCATGACGTGGAAGCCACTGGGCTTCAAATAATTTTAAAATAAGAATCTTGCCGTCTGCTGTCCTTTGCTTTTCCGAGGGAGCCCAAGGATGGTCTTCACCATCACCTCCGGGTCGCCCGGTGGGATCGTCGTCACTGCGTGTGTGCGTGTGCGCGCGTGTGTGCGCGTGTGTGCGCGCGCGTGCGTCCAGAGCGCAGGCTCCGGGCGGTTCTTCAGCTGGGAGCCGATGGGTTATTCCAGCTGACTCGCCGTCCTTGTTGATTCCAGCGGGCGGCCGCGTGCGGCCCGCTCTGTGCCCCAGGCCTTCTGCACCTCGGCCGGTGGCCTCTTCTGGGATCTTCATTCCCCGGGTTGCGGGTTTTCTGTCCTCTTTCGCCGCGCTCCTGCCCTACGTGCCGCGGGAGCCTGTCCTTAGCACGGTCCCTCGGGGACGAGGCCACACTGCCTGCTCCGTAGGCGCAGATGGGAGTCACGGGCGAGCCAGGGGTCCCCCTCTCTTCTCTTGCCAGACGGTGACCCAGGAGCCGAGCCCCTGCCATCCCTCGCCCTCGCCTGGCACCCCGGACGCTCTGTAGGTGCTCCTGGTTCCGCCCGCGGCCCTGAAGCGTGTGCTGGGGCCCCTCCGGGCCGGGCACCGGGGCTCAGAGTGGCCTGAGACGCCCGTCCGTTCACTCAGCCACAGAGTCTGCCCTTGCAGGTCTGAGCAGGGAAGCGAGTTGTTGAAGGGCGTGGGGTGCTCTGTCCCAGCCGGGAGGCCCGGGGCGGCTGGCTGCGTGGTCAGGAGCAGCACCCGCGGGAGACGGCCCGTCTGCTCGCCGGCAGCCCGCCCCGCGGACCCAGCTGTGCCGCCTGTCACGTGCGGTTCTCTTGCCGGGACGGACAGTCCCTGCCAGGCGTGCGGGGGCGTCTCTGGGAGCGACTTTCTCACTTGCGCCCCAGAGAGGGGAGGCTGACCAGGGGAGGTGTGCGCCCGAACTTGGCGACGAGGTCACGGCTGACGCTTGCTGGGCGCACGGGGCACACAGAGCTGACGCACGGCCCTGGGCCCACGTGCCGTGGGCAGCGCAGAGCCAAGGGGCGTACGTGTGGACGCCTCCTGGGAGGAAGGTGTGGATGACTTAGGGGCACACGTCACCACTCAGTCGGCCTCACCGGGGTCCCGGGGGGGAGGGGGGCAAAACGAGCTGTGCAGATGCTAAGCGAGATGTTTGCAGATGTGCAGACAAACAGAGAGGTCCTTGACTTCATTTCTCATCACGGAAATGAAAGACGAAGGGTGTTGACTGCCAATACCTGCAGGACTTTCCTCCCCGCGCTGCGTTCGGGGCTGCTCTGTGCCCCGGCTCCTCGGTTCAGTTCTGCGCACGAGCTGTGTTACCTGCCAGAATGCAGTTCCCACGGAGGAGGAAGTTCTTTTCAGCACGATACCCGCACGCTGAGGGCACACTGACGCTGCCTGACGCGGGCACCCCGTAGGTACTTGCTGTATGTACTGAAGTGGGGGGAGCCCAGCGTGAAGACGGGACGAAGTCTTGTCAGCTCAGGCATTCAGGGCTACTTGGCGGCAGGGAGGCGGCGGGTCCAGCCCAGCGAGGCCGGGAGGGGTCGCAGCGCCTGGGTCAGGGGTCCCGATCTTCCCCGCAGGCTGAGCACAGTGCACAGGGCTCAGAGGGGGACGCTGGGGAAGGAGGAGCCCCGGGGAGGGACGCTGGGGTCTGGAGGGAGGGAGGGTCTTCTCTGAGTTCGGCGGGAGGTAGGGTGACAAGGAGTCTGTGATGATGCTGTTCCCGGCTTGGGTGCCTGGGGGTGGGGTGGGGTGGGGTGACGGCCGTTCCCGAGACGGCCGGTGTCGGCTTGTTCTCCACGCCGCCGTCTCTTACGGCTTTATGCTCTCAGTCCCACGCCGGGCGGCATCGGTCACTTTAGTCTGCGGTCTGGTAATTTCTAAATGTGCCGACTGATTGGATTTGATCAGGCTTAATAGGATCTTTTATGGCTGAAAATTTGACTCAAAGTGAAGGACATGAAGTTTTAAAGGAGCCCTGGGTGAAATCCTTCCTGCACGTTCACGTGGATTAAGGGTGAGGGTGACAAGCCGACCCTACGACTCCCGTGGAATCGCAAGGGGCCCAGGAGAGCCGCGTCAGTCCTGGAAAAGAGGCAGAGGGGAGGACCCACATTTCCCGACCTCAAAACTCACTGCACAGCAGCACTAGTTTAGACTGTCTGGTATCAGCACAAGGACGGACGTACAGATCTGTGGAATCGAAGTGAGAGTCCGGAAGTCAGTGCATAAATCTACGGCCAGCTGTTGTCCACAGGGTCCTGGGTCATTCAGTGGGAGGAAGGACAGTCCTTCAGACAGATGGTGCAGGGACAGCGGGGTCTCCAGACGCCAAAGGATGAAGTTGGATCTCTGCATCAACAAAGGATCACCCCTGAAACAAAGACTGCCTCAAAGTGACCCGAGACCTGAATGTAAGAGCTAAAAATGATAAAACTCTTAGGAAAAGAAAACTAAAAACGCCCCATGGGATAGAGCTGTGTGACCTTGGTTTTGGCATTCTTTAAAAAAATTATTTTTTTAAATATTTATTTATCTTTGAGAGAGACAGAGTGTGAGCAGGGGAGGGGCAGAGAGAGAGGGAGACACAGACTCTGAAGCAGCTCCAGGCCCTGAGCTCTCAGCACAGAGCCCGACACGGGGCTCGAACCCACGAACCGTTGAGATCATGACCTGAGCCCAAGTCGGACGCTTAACCGACTGAGCCACCCAGGCGCCCCAAAGATTCTTATACATGACAGTAAAAGCATGAGCAGCTAAAGAAAAATAGATAAATTTAATTACACTCCATCAATATAAAAAAAAAAAAAAAAAACTTTTCTGGGGCACCTGGGTGGCTCAGTCGGTTAAGCGTCCGACTTCGGCTCAGGTCATGATCTCACGGTTCGTGGGTTCGAGCCCCGCGTCGGGCTCTGTGCTGACAGCTCAGAACCTGGAGCTGCTTCAGATTCTCTGTCTCCCTCTCTCTCTGCCCCTTCCCTGCTCTTGCTCTGTCTCTCTCTGTCTCTCAAAAATAAATAAAAGCTAAAAAAATTTTTTTAAAGCCAAAAAAAGCAAATAAAAAAATTTTGTGCTTCAAAGAACACTACCAAGAACGTGAGAAGACAACACACAGAATGGAAAAAATATTCGGAGATCATAGATTTCATAAGAGACTCGTATGTGGGATATATAAAGAGTTCTTACAATTGAATAATAAAAAGACACGTAACCTAACTAAAAAGTGAGCAAAGCAATAACAAAAAATCCAAATAACTCATTTTTAAAATGGGTCAAAGACTTGAATAGACGTTTCTCCAAGCAGGATACCTACCCAAGAGGCACAGGAGAAGGTGTCTGACATCATTCGCATCAGGGAAATGCAAATCAAAACCACAGTGAGAAGGACCTTCACACCCAGTCGAATGGCTCTAATCCAAAAGCCAGGCGCAGGTGTTGGTGAGGATGTGGAGAAATTCCCCTTACACTGCGGGTGGGAATGTCAGATGGCGCCACCATTCCACAAACCCGCCCGGCAGTTCTCTGGCAGTTCAACATAGAGTTATGTGGCCCAGCAGTTTCACTCCGAGGTATAGACCCAAGAGCAGTGAAACCCTGTGTCCACATGAAAACTCGTACACACATGTTCACACCAGTGTTCTTCAGAGCGGTCAAAGCATGGAAGCAACTCATGTCCATGAGGAGTGATGGATGAATGGATAGAAAAAGATGACCTATGCATGTGATGGAATGTTACTCAGCCTTGGAAAGGAGTGAAATGCCAGCACATGCTGTCACGTGGATGGACCTAGAAAGCATGACGCCAAGGGAGAGTAAGAGTAGCCAGACCTTGTTCGGGGGCAAATTTGTAGAGACAGAGGTAGACTGGTGTTTACCAGCAGGAAATGGAGGAAATAGAGGGTTTCTTTTTGAGATGATGAAAATGTTCTAAAATTTTGGTGATGATTGCACAATTCTGAATCAACTGAGTTCCACCAACTTGTACACTTTATTTTATTTTTAAATTTTAATGTTTGTTTTTGAGAGAGAGAGAGAGAGAGAATGGGTCCCTGCCGGAAGCCCGGAGGCTCTCAGGGGTCACGTGGGATGTGGTGGGTGCTCCGGGCAGATGAGGGGATGTGGCCGTGCGGGAAGGCATTCCAGGAGGAGGGAAGTTCAAGGGCAAAGGCCTGGAGGCGTGGCAGCTCTGTGTGAGTTGAGAGTGGCTTCCTAGCAGGACTGGAGTGGTAGCAAAGCCCTGGGCGCCAGTCTGGCCATCAGGGATGAGCTAA